AATATATATATATATATATATATATATATATATATATATATATATATATATGAGAAAGAAGAGTGGGAAAAATTAAGGAGCACATCAATTATTAGTAATGTAATAGTGCGTCAAGCCTTGAATCCTTAAAACTATGTTTTTCTTTAGTAATTAATTATGTTATAAATGTGATGTATTTATCGATGTTATCAATTTTTATTAAAAAATACGATTGATTCATGTCTTTAATAATGAGATCTTCTTAATAATTTTTTTTCACTCATAAAACTATTAATTTTAATCATATAGAATGGTAAGTTTTAATTAAAAAATCGTGATGATGCAGATTACTATTTAGAAGTCTTTCTTAACTGGAATAAAAATATTTTCAAAGTAAAATGTATGTAGTTTCTAAAAACATTATAATTCAAAGTAAGAAAAGCAATTAATATCTTATTTATATTATAATTGTTTAAAAATAGTATATTTATATCTGTTTTATATATGTTTTTAGTGAGGATATATTTAAACAAAATAAATAATTAGAATAAAACTTTTAAATGACAAGTAAGTAAAATATTGTGTTAGAAGACTAGTCAACAAATAATATATCGAAACTTTATGTTAACATAATATATATTCCTAAAAAGAAAGGGAAGAAGTAGCTAGCAATGTACTGTAGAATGGAGTGAAGCATTTATAGTTGTTGCTCCTTTCACCGATACTGCAATGTAAGTATTAATGGTTCTGAGTACGCGCTATCCTTAATCATGTTATTTGCTATCTGCCACTTTATGCTCTTCATCACTATCCCTTCACCACAAATACAATGCCCTTTATTCACCTTTTGGATTCCTTCTTCCTATTCAGATCAGAATTTCATATTCCTGTGATTCGTCTCGTGGTCGTAGACTCAATGAATTCTAATTGTAATTTAGTAATTAAATAAATTATTTTCTCTAATGCATATCCGTGTTTTAATACACGATAAGTTTGTAGGAGGGAAAAAATAAATGTATGCGACTAAGTGATGGAGACAGATTACAAAATAAGGTTTAGTTGTAACAAATTATCATCACATATATTGATAACTAATTATATAGTATTACTTTAAGAATGATTTTTAAAATAACTATTATAAAATATAATTATTTAATTATTTAATATTAACTGACGGTATAAATTCTTATCCAATTACCTACCCCAAAAAAAATTCTTATCCAATTAGTATGTTTTAATAAATTCAAAAGAATATATCACAAAAAAACATATGTCTAAAATAAATGGATAATTTGATACATATATCTACTTTTCTCTGAAGTGGATAATCTTGACTCTTGTGGGGGACACAAACATTACGAAGAACGGTGAGTTGAAGATGGTATTAATTTCCGTGAACTAATCCTGTTAGACATGAATTAATGTGGTTGATTAAGTAAACCAACCCCTCTGCATATTACGTGACTGAGTAACAAATTTGTTTGTAACGTCTTATCAATTGTATTGCATTGCTTGCTACTACGTACTGTACTCAATTTAAAGGGGATACCAGTAAAATTAGTTGAGCTTTACTCTTAAATTGATTGAACATTACATTTGGTAGTTTTGCCGACAATTGCATTTCCTTACTATTATAAGGTGGAATTACATCAGCCCAGGCACAGACATGTACATGGGATAAATTGGATAAGAATAACATTTTTTATTTTACTATATTTTATAATTTACTCAGTAAATCAAGACTATTATTGCTTAAAATTTTAATGAGCTTTTCTATTTTATATAAGTAGCTTTTATTGATAGGAATTTTTACGAAATTCAAATATAACCGATCACAGGGAGTTGTTTAAGTGTGTGGCAGAAGACAGAAATACTCCACCAATCAGTTATTCACAATTTAGAGACTATAATTTGAAATTTGTTTTGTGCTGTGAAGCATTCTCATTTTAATTAGAGTAATATTCATTTACATCATTAGTTTTATTATGATCCAAGAAAAAATTATATATTTTAAATAAGGAGAATGATGACTATATATAATATAATATCTTAACCCAGGGATGTTGGTTTTTTTTAAATATTATTCATGTAATTTTACCATTATTTTTAATAAAAAACTTTATTAATTTTGCAACTTTTTTTTTTACAACCTATTAATTTTCCAACTTGAATACATGAACTATTTATTAACAAGACCCTCTAAAAATTGTTATTGAGAATGAATTTTAACAAAATTGAAATTTACGAATAAAATTCTCACATACACACGTTCACGAGGAACGGGAAATAAATTGCAATTTTCAATGAAAAATGTTCCATTAACACTTTAATGAGAGTGTCTAACCTTGGAGAAAGAAATATAAGAGGAAAAAAATTATAGATACAATTGATGATATGATTTATTTTTACAATATATATATATATATATATATATATATATATATATATATATATTTTTTTTAATTATTTCTTTTTCTAGTCTCAAATTAAGACTCCAGAGAAGGTGTTTGCCTTTTGTTTCAAATTTTTCTATGATTCCAAGCTATAGAAACCGA